TCACCAACAGCTGCCTAACTCCCACGAAGTTCGTCACAGGTTCAGCATCCAGCTTTCCCCTCGGTGTCAAAAGCGGCGTTGAGCTACATCCGTTGCGTCTGTGGCATGATACTGCATCATGCATGCCGGCAAGCGCTCACAGATATGTTTCTCTGCTCAATTCACGCTACTGCCTCTTCTGCGACTCCTCACAAGCTTGGCAGGCAATTTTCTGGGAGGCGGCAGGCAATTTGCGGTCTTCGGCTTGCATGAACCCCGAGCCCGAGCCCTGACTCCTGAAGTGTTTGGGCAGTCTGCCTTGTCCAGCTTCCGTCCCTTGTCCAGGGACGATTCCATGGCAAGGCCGAGGTCTGTGAAATGTCAAACGCAAATCCGGAGCATTACTCTAGACTCCTAGAATATGATGCATGCCATGACATCGACAATGATGCTCTTAGCTTGGCACAAAACAACCGCATGCCTGTCTTAGCTCAAACTACACACTTTGAGCCAGCAGACAGTCATGCACGCGCTGGATGCGGGAGTGAGACTGTACTCACTTCCAACATGTGGAGACTCTAACCCCTTGAATCTTGCAACATCCTCCTCGGCTGTTCTGTTTTGAGTGCACATGTCCCAAGCAAAGTCTCACAGGCCCAGCAGTTGGCTGTGGATGTCGTCCTCCACGGAAGGCCTGGGAGCCTGTCACGATGAAGGTCCCACAGGAAAGCAAAACAAAGGTATGCGCAAAGCCTGGGCACCGACCGCCGACCTGGTCGAAGCATTTTTCGGGTAGCAACATTTCACACTTCCCACGTCTTCCCACTTCCCACCTCCCCTTCCCGTGGGCTGCTTGAGGGCCACCATGGCCTTTGCCGTTGGGGCCCTGACGAAATCCGACTGTGCTACAGGTGCCCTGTGCTTGCTGAAGCTGCGGGCTGTCCTGGGAGGCCACAGACTGCCCCGGGCCCGCACCACGGCCCTGCGCAACTTCTCTATTCTCACCCAGTGGAATCGCTTTCCGAGTTCCAGGCTTTGGCTTTTCCCTTGCTCTGGTCATAGTACTTCTGCCAGATCTTGCACCTCGCAGAAATTCCCAGCAAGTCGCATTCACAGCTGCATGCAGAAGGCCGCACCACTGGTAGTATTCTCGCCAGCACTGCTGTCCTGGGCAAGCCGTGTGAAGCACAAGCTCCTGGTGACTGCCAGTTTAGGACCCGCACGATATGCTTCAAATTCCTCGGGCGATGTGCCTGCATTTTCCAAACGGACTTGTGAAGCAGGAACAAGGTTCTGATGTCTCATGCCCCTGCCTGGAGGTGGTTCTGGGACGGAAGGCCTTGAGGCTCTGTCGCGGAGAGCTTACATGACACCGACTTGAAAACGTCACGTAGAGGAAAAAAGAAAGCCAGAAACGAGAAGCAACCGCGAGCACTTGCTCGATGCAACGGAAACTGCTGCGCAGTCACCACAGGAACGCTGGTTGCATTCAATTCAACTACTAGCAATTCAATGGTTTCCCTGTCCAGCTTCTCCACTCTTCCTCTTTGTTCCATCGTATCGGCCCTGTCTAGGCTCTGCTGTTCCGGCTCCTGCGCTGCAAGATTTAGAATTCCTTCGGAAACAACCTGCCTAGCTCTCATTGCTCATGATGCTCAGGTGCACCCATTCCTATCCATCTGCCCAGATCCGCTGATCCGCACATCAGTCCAAAAAGGCTGCAAATCGAGGATCCCGCGTGAAGCCAGCTTGGGGCAGCCCCTGCGAGCCGAAGCACTGCGGAAGCCCAACCCCGTTCAACCACCTCACATTGACCCATGCTGGACCAGCCTGTGGTCCGGTCCTGGCATCAGGGCAGACATGCGGGAGCTGCACATGCACCAATGCAAATTTGTAAGACATAGAAGTAATCAATCACGTATGTCACGCAAACATACGCGCCTTTGCATGCAAGAGGGGGAAACCCTTTCTACCGGTCGCAGTTTTGGCAAAGTGTCCTAGGCTTTTTTCACCTGCTTGGGAGGGAGGGAGGGAGGGAGGGACTGACTCGTGGATTCACGTATGCATGCTTGCATGAGGGTATATGGTATGTGTGTAAGAATGTAAGAAGATAACAGTATGAGTGCGTGACTGCAGATAGAAACGGCGGAGACGGAATACATATGCCCGCTTCTGCAGACCCGACTTCATAAACTTGCTGGCGAGGCTGCTCGGAGACGTTCGCACCCAGATTTCTGGTCAGAAGTTTTGCATTCAAGTCTATTGACATGGAATGCAAAACACAAGCGACACTGAGCTGGTGCGATGCAACAACCGATGCAACACTATCTTGTCCCACCTCAGCATCTGCGCTTTCCTGCCAGCAGATGACGAAATCGCATGACATCTTCCACTCCGGGATTCCATGCACGCATGCAGATCAAACCGCACGAATCCTGTCTCTGGTCACGGTGAGCAACAGAGCACTCCCACAAGTATTGGTGTAGGTTGTCGGTCGTGGGTAACCCGAATCCCGGGATTCTGACCGAGATTCGCCCTAGAATCTTCATCTCCACGTTCCATTCAAGTCCTGTTCTGAGGATTTAGAACTTGCCCTCTTATCCCTTGTCCATGGTCATGGGGCACGGTGCCTAATTCGTCTTTGGCAATACCAAGGGATTTAGACCGGAAACGACGGATTGCTGACCTTGTGGTGAAAGGCTACCTGTATTGCTCTACTTGCATTGGCCTGCACAAGATCTCTGAGCCCTGGCATCGCACCCTGTCGGATGTGACCACCTACTAGATTCGTCCTTCCTCCCTCCCTTCGATTCGCCCACAACAAGAAAACGGCTCGGCCTGGCAGCCAGCGCGGCCTGCTCTGCATCTTTAGCTGCGAAGTCCTGGTACAGTACTTGCCATACTCTGAGACATGCTCAATCGCACTCAGGTCTCCAAGCCTGTTGTTCAGGAGCACGCAGTGGAAAAGGCACTGCTGCACCAGCAGCACCTGCACACTCTCATGCTCACCAGAAGCCAGCAAGGACGCTGAGAATGCAGGTCGAACCTGATCTGGGCCGCTTCAGAGGTGGCTCCCCTGGAGATACGTATACTCAGAGAAGCGAAGCATTTACGAGTTTGTCCAGCCTGGGCCGGGGAGCGGCACTCCACGATTTGCGAGCCCCAGGTTGGGAAAAGACTGGAGCTGCGTCTGCATGGCTTGTGGTGGCTGCACCTGTTGCAGCTGCACTTGCTGCGGCAGCGGTTGGGTAACCTGCTGCAAGAGCCGTGGCTGCAGAAGGTGTGGCTGCGTCACAGCCACAGCCACGGCTCCAACAGCTCCGTATCCCGAAGCGGCAGTGACGGATGGGGAAGCAAGCACCTCAGTGCTACAATGTTCCTCATCCACAGCCTGCATGGCAGCCAAGGCCTGGGCCGGCATCCTTGGCGCTGCCTTCTCAGCTGGAAAGGGGCTGTGCCCAAAAATACAAAAACACACGCACACGGCCTCAGGAGTAAAGGTTCTCGGCCCGGTCTTCGCTTTGGGCAGGGCGGCAGACCTCCAAGCTGAGCTTCCTGGCTGACTCCATCGTGTGCCGAGTCCCCGGCTTGCTGAGCTGCACTTTGAGCGCGTCAATCATCTGCTGCCGGGCATCCAATCCTCTGTCCTGAAATGCGAAATTGTGCGCCGACGCACCCTTCTGCGAAGAGCTCTGCTTGCACGAGGCAGCCGAGGCAGCGGCCAACTGAGCCATGACATCAGAGAATGCATCTCCCGATCCCGCATCTCCCGCTGCAGCCGGACTCGGCTCCTCTGCTAGCAAAGAAGCGACGTGTTTCTGGTCCAACACCAAGATGACCAAGTTTTCCTCGTCATCGACGTCGATGACGGCAAGAGTGGGCCTGTGTTCGGGACTGGAGAGGGGCATTGGATTGATATCGATGCAAGCTGCGCTCAGCTGTGGCAGGCACGCAGTTGGGACCTCCGCTTCCTCTATCTCCTGCAACATGGTGCAACAGCGTCACACCATTCACCTCTGTAGATGCCAAGCTGAAACATGAATGGCTTGCGGTCCTGCCCAAGAATAGCTCTGTAATGGAAAAGGTTTCACCATGATACTGACATGCACCATGCATGCCCTGGAACAAACGTGCTTCCTCGGCCAGGCTGAGTAACACTGGGCCATCGTCGCTTGGCCTCTCCAAGCCGCCCAACAGCTAACGGCGGCATAGCCAGTCATCTGAGGGCCCAAGCAAGGGAAGCTGCTGCTTAGTGTCAGCATTGTCGAGCTTCGCCTCCGGTGATGTTTGAGGCCGATGGCCACGGCAACACGACAAGGACCAACATCAGCAGATTGGCGACGACGGCCGTGACGACCGCAGTCAATGAACGAAGGCAACCACGACGAGAGTGTGCAACAGCGCCACAGCTGCCATAACGGCCATAACGATAACGGCATCTGCCATAACGGCCTATACTGACAATGCCGTCATCGACGACCCTAGCATCATCGCAGCACCACAAGAATTAATGGAATTGCTGTTGACAGCAGGGCCCGGACGCGTAGTGCGCTGAGCAAGGATGCCCGCTGCTCCATGCATTCATCAACATGGCCTCACAGCATCTTTCGTCTTAGTGCCAGCCCCAGAGCTGCCCTGAACAAACATGCCAGCGGGTCCGAGCAGCGAGGGAAAATCCGCAGCCATGACATCGGCTGGAGGTGCATGCCAAGACCGCGTTCAATCTGAGCTTCTTGAGCATGTACAGGTCATGCTAAGCCCCATACTACTGAAATGCCGGGGTCATCTCGACATGTGCTTCAACTCGCAGGCACATCATGCACGGAGGCTTGCGAGAGACCTACGACGGGAATGGCATACTTTTCAGAGGCGTTGTTTCGTCCATTGGGTAGCTACAGCTACAAGCGCCTGACCTTGACACAGAAAGCAGCATTTCCCAAGTCGAAAGACTTACAGTGTCAACTCTCCAGGGCTAAACAGAAATCTGAAATGTGAAACGCGTCGGAAAACTTTTTTGGTCCTCATCCATGCTGCATTTGATTGAGCTTGGTATGGAGGCTGCTGTGAATCCGCTCGAACGAGTCAACCTTCTGCATCAGCAATAGGCTGGCGATGATGTGGGGTCTGGTCAACTGAGCAGAAGACCCACTTCTGCAAACCAGTGAACTGCTTGGCTTTCTCCCCCCGGCCGGAACTGACTTGCAGAAAGCCCTCAGCCAAGATCGTGGGTTCAGCACTAAGCGCTGAGAGCTTAGGTACCGACATTCCGATTGCCTCAATCCCGTCGATGCGAGCTGCGATTTTCTCGTCGAGGATCAACTGAACCAAGAGGCTTACCACCTGTCGGAAAAGCACATCATGTCGAAGTTCAGCTGAAATCGAGTCCTGGGGCCTCTTCATTTGCAACGTTGATTTCCTTGGCAAGGAAGTCCAAGCTAACACACCGGTAGGGCTTGATGATGTTCTGCAGCACCTGTTGCAATTGTGCAGAGTCTAACAGCGGCATCGAGGCTGACAGCCACTCTGACAGCCCGGAAAGTTTGGGTTCTGCGTTGTCAGTTGACGGTTCAGCAGAGTTCAGTGAGGTCAGGTGCTCCCTGAAGCAAAACATACTGGGAAGTCTGGTCTCAGCAGTGTCTCGGACATAACCCAGTGCCTGCAAACGAATATTTCGAAGCAAGTCCTGCCAGATCATGTGATTCAAGACACCAAACAGCCGATGAAAAGAAAGCAACGAGAGAGTCCTGCAGATATGTACGAATGAAGGTGTCAGACAGAATCCTGTAAGACGGATTTGTCAAGAGCTGGTCGATCGTACCGATGTCATTCTGCCTCGGATGGCGCAGCTGACTTGCTGCTGCTTCATCGTGATGCGACCGACGGAAAGTGAAAACCAGGAGCCGTGCTCGTATGCTGTCCGTAACGAGGCCATTGCACTGATTTCAGGATCGTCCTGATACACCTGCCCGGTAAAGACACAGCGTTTCGGCGCACGTCTATCTCGATGATCTGTTCTTGCTTGTCTCGCGCAAGTGTGACTCTGCAGCCTGAACTTCACCCCTCTGGACTCAGTGACCGACTTAACATGGAGGCAAAGGAGGGCTGCCGTCACCCCAACGATGCCAGTGTTTTGCAAATATTCTATGGGCCTTTAGCTTAACATTCCGAATAAAGAGAAGTGGTTCGGTTGGCACGGAAACCGTTCCCTGGGACGTGGGTCCAGCTGTGGCAACGTGCACGGTTTGTGCAGGCGTCCTATTATCCCTGACCCCCAGAAAGCCAGATCTATTGTTGGGCCACCGTTTGGCCTCGGTATTTCTGAATCCTGCCAGTGCTTGGGGTCCTGGTGTCTTATGGTAGTCTCCTGGATGATTCATTCTGCGGTTCCAAAGTTTCCTTCAGTTTGCGCTGAGGGGTTTGCTTCAGGTTTCCTGATCATTCATGGTCAGACCTCAAACACCCACGACTGCCACCATTGCTTGCTTTTGTATGGGTGCTCGAAAAAATAAAGAACCGGATGCAGAGGCCAAGTCTTGAGGACGATAAACTGCACCCTGTGCATTGTGGGGCCTTGGCTTCGCGTGAATCGAAGGGATTGATCGAGGAAAGCGCCAGCATGTTTGCCAGCACCTAGCCGAGCTGAGGCAGGAGGCCTTGAGCGACTGAACAATCTTCCAAGGCAGGTACCACGTACTTGAGCATGGTTTTTGCTCGGCTTGCATTGCCAGTTTCTTGGTAGTTCTTGAACGCTTCAAAGAACTCGTTGTAGGCGGCCTGAAAGCAATTCCGCGCATCTCTTGTGCTGGGCACTGATTCTTAGGTCTACGAACCCGTGCACGGGTAACACTTCATGACACCTTATGTCAGTGCAGCCTCCCACTTCTTCTCGCTCATGAACATTTTGCCACCACTCTCCCGGATCACAGCAATGTTTCGCGGATCCGCAATCGCCTTGGTGTTGCAAGTGTGACTGTGTGCAGAACCTGGCCGCGAACTTCACATCAGCAGTGCTGTGGGCCGCACAGACGTGAGGTTGATGGTCTTCGGATAGATCTCCTGCTTGTGTTTCCAGCCCAGTAAACATCGTGGTGAACGTTCCACCCATCCCAGGCTTCCCGTCTGCCATGAGGCCTTCATGCGCACGGAGTTCTTGGTCAGGGTGCACATCTGGCAGACACGCATCGGTCCGCTGCCACACTCAGTGAAAGCGAAAACCCTTCAGCCTGGATCTCGAGCGCATAGACTTCGAGGAGATGTGAGCCCTGGCGAGATTGAGAGCAATCAAACGATGGCTCTCCCGTGACTCGAACTCTGAACTGCAGCCTTGCTAACATCATCAGTGCCATCCGGCTTCTGGCAGGTCCTGTGCAGCGCCTGCACGCCGGATCACAACTGCCAGAGCCTAAGATGCAGAGATGCCGCCAGGCGCCCGCCTTCACCAGGCGCTGCAGCTTTTGGACGTCACCTACGGTCCCGAACGCAGAGTTCTCCCCCCAACCCAACCAGGCCATGCTCCCAGGGGACCCATCTCCAGGTGCAGCTTCGCAAGCTTTACGGATGTGCTGAACCAGAGCCTCAGACTCCCATGCAAGCTCTATTCGCTTCTGGATTTTGCTGCTGTCCTGGCCTCTGGTTCGCTGTGGCCTTTAAGGCATCGAGGGTCAACTCGTAAATGGTCTCCAGCTTCGTCAAGTCACTGGCAGACGACACAGAATCAAGCACCTCAACAAAGCGGCATGACGATCCTGAATAAGTCCAGAAACCACCATTCTCAGGCTGCGAATTGCTTTGGAAGCTGGGCTCCAGTCCGTGTTGATCGCCTCACTGGCATCATTCCTGGTCACCTTGCAACTCAGCAGCTCCAACAAGCTACAAGTGGGGCAGAAAAACTGACACAGGCAGACCTGGTCCATGTAGCTCAGCAGCTCCCGATATCGCGTGGCCATCTCCTCGAACCTCCCTATTCTGGCGCCTTGGAGTTCACATGCCCTCACGTATCCGAATGAGACCCTGCGGATCCTCCGGGGCTCGAACACAAGATTACGATATTTTGGAGCGCCTTGAACCTCCAGACAACCTGAGCACAGGCCGGTAACAAAAGCTGACCGCGAGTTGCATGATGATGCAGGTGAGGTTCCTCGCTTCCGCGGGCGGCCTCCAGCGTAACCACCCTCTGGAACTGTTCAAGCGCCTACGCAGCACGAAGTCTGAAGGCTGCAGCTGCTGACCAGTGTGGCAACGCCTGTTCCGGGTAATTCTGCTTGTTGTCATCCGCCTTGCGCACAGAGACTCCAAGCTCCAGTTCCGGCAGCAGAATTGCTGGCCTCATAGAAGGTGTTCTCAATCTGGATGGCCTCTTCGTCCCCATCCTGGTAGCTTGCGTAAGCACAGGTGAAGTGCATCAAGTCTGTGACTCACCTCCTCCTCTTGCCCACCGTAAGGATCATCGTCGGACTCGTACTCGAATTCGTCCGAGTCAGACATCTTCTGTCCTGCGATCCACTCAGGGACGGCCACGTGAGGACACTCCATTTGGAGGTAACTGCGATGACGGCTGCAACGAATTCAATGCCGCTCTTCGGACATTCATTAATCGGGCGGCATGCAAGCAAGAAGAGATTGATATGCGTGAGATCAATGGCACCAGCTCTGCAAGAGCGTTGACATGATGAGTTGGCCGAGTTGTGTTTAGTCAGCTCGCCTGTCTCGATCGATGCGGACATGATGATATGCCTTCTCCTTCCTGTAATCTTGATTGACATCCTGGCTATATAAGTCGTTTCATGAGCGGCGCGCTTGGAAAAGATCTCACAAAGAATGTAGTCACTGCCCGATGCCGAAAGATTCGAGGGGTTCCTCCAGGGAAACTCTGTGTAGCCCAGCCTAGGTCTGCTGCCTTCCGAGACATTCTTATTTCGAGGTAACGGGTCCCAGGATTCTGCGACTGCTGTCCTCGGACTGGGCCCTTAGTGTGCTACAGCAGGTGACCTTCAGAAGCCCATCCACCTGTTGTCTGCACAACGCTCAGCAATAGCCACCCATTACGAGTTTCGATAGTCGAGAGCCCATACGAGCATGAGAGTCAACTCGAGGTTTCAACACTTGGTCTCCGATGTTCGTGCGAGATTTTGTCGAAGAGGCTGACAACAAGAGTCCAGCAGGTGCTCTATGGCGCCCCTCAAAAGCATAGGTTTCCGTGCGACATAGAAATCTACGAATTGCTGATGCTTTCCGCAGGCTCAAGCATCCTCACCGTTCTGGTCCCGCGCTCCGAGACCCTGGCAGCATCACACAAATTACAGTTGAGGGGTCAAGGTGGCCTGGACGATAAATACAGCCAGCCTCCTCAGCACATTCTGCTAGTCCTTCTCTCTCCTGGCTCCAGTAACCATGACAGGCACCTGGACGAGCGCAGAAGCACCCACTCATTATGCAAGAAGGCATTCCAAAGCCGCAGGTGGCCTGGCATTCAGCTTTAGCCATGGCAACATATTGTAGCAGCCAAAAAGACCAGTGAATCGGCACGTCGGCTTGGGGTGCACAAAACTCACTGACACGCAGAGCTCTCTTGCAAAACATAGCATTGAGCGTGGCTCACAGCTGGCAGCATTCACTTCCACGCGCTGCTTGCTTAGGTGGCACTAAATAGTTGGCAACTACCAGCACCTGAACTTGAGAGGAGTGGTAGTCGCGTCGCTCTTTCGCGATGGCAGGTGATGCCAGCACCCTTTCTCCAATGTGTTGCACTGGCCACCTGAAGGCGGCCAATGACTACCTAAGCTACTACTACTACTACTGTCAGCCACTGAGATCAGACTGAGCTGTTGCCGGACGCCTTTGCATCTGCAAGCCACAGACCGTGGAGCAACAGCAGCACGCTTTTGTCATGAGAGGTTTTAGCATTGCCTTTGCTACAGAAAGACTATCTGCATGCACAAGGAGACTAGACCACTTACCTCCCGCTGCTTCATGCGCCACGGTCTGCTTGACACAGCTCTCCTCCGTCTCCACTCTTTGCTCAGCTCGCATGTGTCGTTTTGGCACGCGCACAGCTTTCAGAGCAGAAGGCATCAGGGCATCACAGCTCTTTGCCGGCAGTGGCTTGATCGTAAACTTGCGCGAACGCCTGGTCCTTGCTTGGCCAAGCAGAAGACAAGGTCACACATGGGCCCACTGTGCTCGCTGTTGAAAGGCAAGTGCTGGCTGCTCTCAGCCTCCCACCTTCATGATTCGGCCCATGAAGTCCACAAAAACCTTTCCGAAGACAGCAAGATGCCCAAAAAAAATAATTACACAGCACACTGACGCGTAGGACACATGGCAACGATCGCACACGACTCCTTTTCAAAGGCCAATCCTGAGCAATTCCCCCTCATCAGCGACAGTACCCAGCTGAAGATGCACTGGTTTGGGTGATCAAAAAATCTTCACAGGGACGACAAACTATGATTAAACAACACATTTCACGTATTTGGCGTACTGAATGGGGCCGACTCCGCGGGTGGGGTTGACCATTGTTCAATTCAGTGCTCTGAAGGCAACGACAGTGCTCTCCCGGCCTTGTGTTGGTTTGCCTCTGCAATGGGCTCCACCACCTTCAAGGTTCTCGCGTAGAGTCTGAGCATGTCCATGGCTCGGCCTCAGATTCCATGCCGATCCCTTAACGACTAAACGACCCACACTTGGACAATTGCGCTAAGGGAATATGTAAACTTAAAAAGGGCCAAGGCTGGCAAACTTTGTCTGTGTGTGTGTGTTTGTTAGTGGCCGTGCGTGTTTTGTTTTGCTTTGCTTAGGGCTTGAGGCGG